ATCCATGTTGCCTCCCGTACTTTATGGTCTCTTTCATTGTGCCATGTCAGAGGCGGACAAACTTTGTCTCAATGCTAAGCTTCTTGTTCTTCAGACTTAGACACTCCTTCCGACAGATCTTGATTTCTTTGGTTTCTGAGTTGCTTTTGTTCAATGGTTTGTAGTAATTTTGATTTCTTTTTTTAGCAAATCTTATGTTTAGCATTTAGATTTTGTTGAGATAGCAACTAATTGGAAGTGTTTTTGGCTATGTGAAATTGGAGTATAATTAGTGGCTCTGTAGCAAAATCTACATGAATTTCATGGAATTTTACATATATCTGTCACAAGACTTCTAAAAATATAACATAGGTTCAACCCTTGTTTTTAAGTTTGGAAGCATCTGATGGACTAATTCAGTTGATTTAAATCTGAGATTAATCTAAATTTTTTTATAAAAACAATAAATAAATCAACTTAGAATAATCAAATTAAAAAAACTAGATTAATCTAAACTCGGTTAACCTAATTAAAATTCAATTAAAAACTCGTTGATTATTTTAATATTTTTTTTTTAAATATCAACTCAAATTAATATTATATTCAAGTTTAGTAGCTTTAGAATTTGGTTTCTTGCCCTTATTAAAAAAAAATAGAAAATAAAACAAGATAAAGATTTAACCAAGATAAAAATCATAACAGTGTAGTGTAGTAGTTGAAAATGTGAAGGTTTTTGGAGAACTTCAACCGGTGCTTTACTTGTATGGACATGGCTAGGAGCTCGAGCCTCTCAAAAGACAAAACCCTGTTACGTTCCACTCCCCAAAGTTCTTATCTTGATCCTTTAAAAGGACCCAGGAAACTAGAAGCCTTCTTCCCCAGAGTTTTTTTTACTATTTTTAACACGCTTAAAGCAAAAGAAAACTATGATTCTTTTTTTTTTATAGCCCATAAAAGAAAATTTTCAGGGTTGAAGTGGAAAAACGAGAGAGCAGACGCAAAGATGGGTGGTCCTCATCATGCATGAGAAAAGTGGTTCCCTTCACTAAGGCAAGATGGTGCTTTCCATGCAAGAACTAGATGCTTCAAGGAATAGATTCTGCCTACCTAGTGAAGGGGTAAAGAAAGTCCACACCATCTATAAAAAGCCATAAACAAACTCTGTGCTGCAAAAACCAAGTTGGAACAATAGTGGAAAAGGAAGCATCCAAAGAAAATCACAAGACAGAGAGCAATAAAGAAAGCTTTTGCTGATGAAAGTTGGACCATTGCTCGAAAAGAAACTGAAACTAGGAGGACCACTGCACTCACGTTTAAGGCTGTGGGGACACCAGCTCAATCAACCATATCATTCTACTTAGTGGAACCTCTGGCACCAGTACTGAAAGGTTACAAATACACAGGCCACTGATCATGCAAAGGACTCGTCATGGTTTACATATCTTGTTCGAGCTTGTGATCAATGGCCCAGCAAGTCCTCTTCTGCATGATATTCTGTGACCAGGACCACATGAACCAGAGAGATTATAATGCAAGAAATGGGCCAGCTGAAATGTGAGTTTCAACACTTGTAGACATGCAGTACCGTGCTTGGTTCGAAGTGTATAAATTGGAGAATATTTTGATGATTCTTGTCCTCGACACCATGTAATTTTACAAGGACATGGAAATGGACGTCTCTCCCTCCTCCCTCCTCCCTCAGAGAGAAGGATAGAGCATTGATTGATTCCTCTTACAAAGACAAGCACTTTAGGATCGTTCTGTTCATGATGGAATATCTGGGGTTGCTCAATCCATTATCTATCTATAATTAGTTGTAATCCACCGTTTAATTGTTTTTAACTTCGCCCCATGTTCTATTAACTGATCAAAATTCTTACATTGATCCATAAAAATATCCAAATCTCGTCTCATCCACCGTTTTATCGGGTCGTGGACCCTTCTTTGGCATAGATAATTCTTTCTAGTATGACGTTTATTTTTGTATTTTTGTGGTGCAAAAATATTTGATATATTATTTTAAAAAATATTATTTGATATATTTTAAATAATTTTTTTTAAATAATTACTGCCATAACATCAGACTATATTATTTGATATATTTTAAATAATTACTGCCATAACATCAGACAAGCGACATACTATAGTAGAATTTGTTGTTTTTTTATGTAAGAGTAGATCTAAGTCCAATAGCTCCGTCTCCGTTCATATTGGACCAGCAATGGTATTGGCTAATGTGCTGGGGGAGGGACAGGGGGGGCTGTGAGAATTCTTTTGCTAGAAAAGTGAAAAACAAATTTATTCCTTGGCGTTATTCTTAAAGTGTTTTTGGGAATTTGTTGCCTATCTTATACCTTTTTGTGGAACTTTCCTCGTCTCTTTGCAGAAGCACAAGGCATCTCTTTTTTATATAATAAAAATGGCTTTGTGTTACTTTTCAATCTATTCTTTTATGCATAGGCATGGTTCTTGACTTTTTTATTATTATTATTATCTTTTATGGTTTTGTGGTATCTAGCAGTGCTTAGCCCCCCATAAGTGTGGGCTTGGAGTTTCTGTGTGGCTGACAGGCTGAGTGTCCAGCAAATTACCAGAGGTAAAGGAGCTGGGAACAGCTTGTGCAGGATAAAGTTGTTCGATTGATGCCGCCAATGGCACGGCCACACAGAAACTCCAAGCCCACACTTATGGGGGGGCCAAGCACTGGTCATGCCCCTCTCCTGATAAATGTTCACAAGAAATGGAGCCATGGCGCCACTGAGTGGGGTTGTTCCTTGATCTAAGTTTGTGCCAAAACCAGCACATGGAAAGTTCCAATAAGAATGTTTGAAGTGCCTTTAGCTTAACTTTCTGGGTTCTTTCTTCTTCGATACGGCACTGGATTGCCATTGATTCTCTTACGAGTTACGAGGAAGGAATTAAAGCTATTCCTGCCATTTTTTCTAAACCCTTAAACCACATGAAATTGATTGCCACATTAATGATTAGGATGCACGTCTTTGTGTGCTGGGAATAAGATTGCTTTGTTTTTAAATGTTTTTTAAAAATATATTTTTTTTCAAAAATTATTAAATTAGTATTTTTTATAACTTTAATAAGTTAAAAAAATATTTTAATATATTTTAAAACAAAGAAATTATTAATATAATCCTATATATCATAATAGCAAATATATTGATTTGTTTGGTATTGTGATAATTCTTGTGATTATAATTTGAAAAAAATTATTTTATAAAAATTATTTTTAATTAAAATTAATTTGATATTTATGTTTATTTTACTGTGTTGGATTAATTTAAAATGTTTGAATTAAACCCTATTCAGTAAAAATAATAGGATATATTTCTACTCTTCACGTGAACAATAAAACAAGCTACATTGTTTATTAAACAACACAGTACAATTAACTCTATTCATTAAACAACATAGTGTGACCAACTCTATTCAAATAAAAAATAATTGCCTTTCTTTTCTCTGCATTTCAAACAAAAAAAAATTGTGAGATTTATAACTAATAAATTATGTTTTTTTATTTTTAAAAAGGTTGCATTTATATCTTATTTAAAATGCAACGAAACTTTATAAATAAACACTATTGATATAATGATTAATTTTTGTTATAAAGGTTCATGGAAATTTTTTTATAACTAATTTTCATCAAATAAAATATATGAGGCCATGAAAAAAATATTTTAATTTATCAAACGAAATTGATTAGAAAAAAGAAAAAACTATAATAATTACATTATAACACTGGACATATATGAAAAAATTATAAATGCACATGGAGTTCCATCGAGTTAGAAGGTAACGTTTCCATTTCTGTACCAAAATTAATCGGGTATTTTTATCCGTCTCTATTTCTATGAAGACAAAAATCCCTCGATGCAGGCCTCCGAATCAACGGAGGCAGGTGCAATTGACATCCCTGTGGCTGAGTGATTGGCAAATGGCAACCAAAATGGCGAGTGAACAGTAATCGCCATCAAAGAAAAGGATGAAGGAAAGCAAAAGTTGTAATTTGGGCTTTTTTGTGGTCTAAAGTGTTACAAGGCCAAGCCCAGGAAGTTAGGTCCAAATTCCAAAATATTCGATTACATAAAAGGGCTTGAGATTGTCAAGAGAAATAGGCTTTTATTGGTGCGTGGTTGGGATCTTCGGAATCAAATTCACAAGGATTTTTAAATAATTATATTTCATACAAGTCTGAAGAGAGGAAAAAAAATCTATCAAGCAACCTGATGATCTTCTAAAATGAGATGTTTGGGTAAATATTTGGATAAAGTTTAGTTATTATATTGGGATAAAAAAAATGAAGATGGGAGAAACAAATGAGACATGTACTTTTTTATTTAAAACTATAGAAATTTATAGGTAAATTTATTTTTTATTTTTATTTTTTTAATTAAATATGATTTTTCCATGCTGTTCTAAAATAGTAATCAAACCCTAATTGGATTTTAAGGTAAATCCCACAAAAATAGAGGTATAAATTTAAATGATGTTTTTTTATTCTTGCTTTCACAATGAATTAAATATCCTCCCAAATTATGTCTTAAATAGGCTATCAAATATAAAAAATTTCATTTATAAAAAAATTAAAACCTCAATTACTGTTATAAAGATAAGTAAATATACTTGGTATCTGCTTGGTATGATAACTTTATTTGCCTTTAAATGTATTTTTAAAATACATTAGCCTAAAAAATATTAAATTAATATTTTTTTAGTATTTTTTTTTATAATTTTAATGTATTTAAATTAAAAATTATATATACACATGGCTTAAAATAACCCAGATAAACCCAAACAGCTACTTATAGCTATTATTGACAATGTTCTATTCTAGTATGGTCATCATGTCATCATCAGATACGAAAGCCATGGGATAAGACTTCTTAATTCACCCCAAGCCCAAAACATTAAAGGTCCACATAATAAAGCTACGGCCCAGACTTTAAATTTCAACCGAGATTTCCGTAAGGCCCATTATTGATATCGCTTATGTATAAAGTGCAAACCCTAGAAATGGCGATAAAAAGTAAGCTCTAGGGTTTGCGGCTAGTCGCAGAGGAAGCGAATCACAAGCACACACACAGAGCGCCGGCTTCATCACCGTCACCATGGGTCGTATGCACAGTCACGGGTACTATCATTCTCTCAAATCTCCCTCTTTCTCTCTTTATGGACTTTTCTTCTTGGTAAAAAAACTGACCTTTATGCGGTTTGTTTTGCAGTAAGGGTATTTCAGCTTCAGCTTTGCCTTACAAGAGAACTCCACCAAGCTGGCTTAAGATTTCTGCTCAAGATGTGAGTTTTATAAACCCCTTGTCTTTTTTCTCTGTTTTCTTACTGAATCAATCAGTGTTAAAGATTAAAAAGGTGTGAGCTTTATTTTCAAGTCACTAGATTTTTACCTGTTTTTATAGTTTCATAGTTTCTTATGACTCCAGGCCGTTGTAGTTATATTTTTAGCTCATTTTAGACATGGGTTTTCAATCATTAGCTTTTTTTTTTCAGTTTTGCATCGTTGGTTAGTAGGAAAAATTATTAGTTTTTGAAGCTAGGAAACAGTAATGATATTTTTTTAGTTCATTTTTAATGGTGGCTTTTTATCAAGTTTGGCTATGCACTGTAGTTAACTTGAAATTATAGGACATTCAAAGTTGATTGTGATGGAAGGGAGTGCTTATTGAGCTGGTATGGTTCCAGGTTGAGGATAACATCTGCAAATTTGCAAAGAAGGGTTTGACTCCATCTCAGATTGGTGTCATTCTTCGTGACTCTCATGGTATTGCTCAGGTCAGGAGTGTTACTGGAAACCAGATCTTGCGTATCCTTAAGGCTCATGGTACGTGTCTCTTTGTTATTTTTGGGATTTTTTTGTTGATATGTGCATGTAGGCAATTTTGCTGCTTTTTGAAGAGGGATAAAATCCATGTTTTGATTCTATTTGGTTGTTGGGAAATGTAAGCGAATGGGATTAGTGGAATTGAGTGCTTTGTTTGTCAAAGGAATGGAACTGAAGTTTTGGTTCTGTGTCTATGCATGAATGTTATTTCAATCATCCTTAAGCAAATGGATATAAATTGACTTTGGTTCAGTTTTTTAACTCCTGGATTTTAAGGAACTGATTATATTTGATCTATTAATTTGTGCTGATGATTGAAATCCTTATCAGCAAGTGAGTGCTGCTCTCATCGAGCCTCTTTTTTGTGGATGTTTTGATTGTTCTGTTGGTATTTGTATGTTTAGGTCTTGCCCCTGAAATTCCTGAGGATCTGTACCACCTCATCAAGAAAGCTGTTGCCATCAGAAAGCATTTGGAAAGGAACAGGAAGGATAAGGATTCCAAGTTCAGGTTGATCCTTGTCGAGAGCAGAATTCACAGGCTTGCTCGCTACTACAAGAAGACAAAGAAGCTTCCTCCTGTCTGGAAATAGTAAGCCCGTTTACTTTTTCACTACCCAGTGTTTGTGCATGGTAGCCTTCAATTTTAGATGGCAGCACCTTGTAAACTTTCTGAGGTGTAGTTCTTCATCTGTGATCTCAGTTAATACCTTGCTCCGTTCCTTGTAGTTCGAGTAAGATTATGACCAAAGCACTCATATTTCAATTGAAATTTTGAATTAGTATCCTGCTCCCACTCGTTTTACCAACTTTAATCAAGATTTCAAGCTGTCTGCAGGGTTTTTTTTTTTGTCACAAATAATATCGTATGCCTATTCACTTAATATTCATAGTATAACTCGCTTTTTGTCTTGCAGCGAGTCATCCACTGCCAGCACGCTGGTGGCTTAGACAATAGTTACGCATGTGGCACGGTTTGATACATCCTGCATGGATGGTCTTCGCGTGGGGGACTCCGTCATAGTTCATAAGCATTATTATGATATCATGTTAGCTGGGACAAAAGATGGAGTGGATCCTAGAACATAAATTTTGCTTTAAATGTTTGTTTTGGCGTTTGAGATTCTGTACTCCGTGTATCCTTTAAGTATATTTTGTGTTTTGAGCTATTAAATTATCTTTTAAACATAATTGATTTGCCTCAAACTGCCTATTTGGGAGACGGTGGTTGTCTCCCTAGTCTCTTCTCGTTGAAACCTGTTACCAATATTGTACGATAATGTACGTCAGTACATAGCCCATGGAAGGTAATCATTTCTACGGTTGGGTTTCAACTCGAATTTTGAAACAACGGGAATTAATTATCACAATTTCAACTGCAAGACACAGATCACCCTAGAGCATTTGTTGGAGCTTGGAAGGTAGCAGAGAAGCAGGATTGGAACCGGCATGAACCTCTATTTCTTCCTTTTTGTGAAAGATAGAGTTATAACATGAATTTGCTCTTTGAATCCTGGCTCAAAATCAAAATATAAATGACTGGCGTCAAATACAATATTAATTAAACCAGATTTGACATTAAACATGTAGAACTTGATTGAATCAAAATAAAGTTGTAGCATGAATTTACTCTTGAATATTGGCTCAGATGAGGATTGAATTCCCTAGGGTTTTAGTAAATTGATTGTATGGACATGATAAATATATTTTTCTGGTAGCTTGGAAGTTGATCCAATAATTTATTAATCTAAACTTGTTTTTTTTAATCTACTTTTTTATAAATCTAATAGCTATAGATCACAATGTGAGTTATTTGGAATTGCAAGAAATTTTGAATTTTTTTATTTAAAATTAAGTTTTTAGGTTGATGGATGTTTTGATATATCATTTCAAAAATAATTTTTAAAAAATAAATATATATATATATATATATATATATATTATTTTAATATATTTATAAACAAAAAAATAGTTTATCCCAACCGGTCCTGATTCAGCTGCCCCAGGGCTCAGAGTTCATCTAAGAAAAACCGCAATGGTAAAATAGAAATAGAGCGTCTTCCTGGGCTTTAACCAGTAAAGGTTGCATCTAAAGCCCATTAATAACAAAATATAACCAAAACCTCCATAAAACCCTAGATAAACCAGGTGAAACCCAGACAAGAAAGAAAATAGAAAAATGGCACCAGGTCTAAGACAATTCACCGAGAGAAGAGGAGACGGTGCTGGAGAACCAGTTCTTGACAACGAAAATGGCGAGGACCTTATGTGTGTGCAACCAGGAGTTTCCATTGTCATCGGCAACCGGTCCCCTGAATCTCAAGGCACTGTTTACATCTCCACAAAGTAAATAAATAACATCAACCCGTTATTTCTTTTCCATTTTTTTCTTGGGAATTTTGTTTCTTTTTTGAGCTTATGATGTTTTTGGAGTAAAAATGGAAGTGCTGTGTTCTTTTTATTGCAGGAAAGTTGTGTGGTTAAGTGATGTGGATAGGACAAAAGGTTACGCAGTTGATTTCTTGTCTCTTTCACTTCATGCTGTTTCAAGAGATCCTGAGGCTTACTCTTCTCCTTGTATCTATACTCAAGTAAGGTTTTTGTGCTCTTCTTTTGGATTAGACTACGATGTTTTAAGGAGTGATTTTGGTCAAAATTATGGTGCTGATGAAATAATTCTATGTTGGATTGAGTTTAAATGCTATTGAAATTAACAGTGAGTTTTATTTTTTGGGTTACGTGCTGTTGCAAGTTGTGTGTGTGTGTGTTGTGTACTGGTGTGTAAATATAGGGTGATGGATTTGTATTGATCTTTTTGTATCATGTATATTGTATGCTCATATTTTAAATTAATATTTCTTTATCTTTGTTATATAGTGTAATGCTATAAGTTTTCTGGTGTTTTAATTCATCACTATTATGATACTTGAAGAGAAGTAATTTAGTTTTGAGGGAATCCGATGGTGGATGGTAGCAAAGGCTATTGTTTGGTTCAGTATGAGAGGGAAATTTTTTTCTTTCTTTCTTGGGCTGTTGCTACTTAATTTTGGTTGTGGATATATTGTTAGAATACAATATGAGGCCATAAATTTGCATTTAACTTTGAATTAAGCATGTAACTGCCAGGAATTTTCAGCATTATAATTTTGTTTGCTTCCTTATGGTGGTGTCTCAAGTAGTTAGTTCTGGTGAGCTAATTAGTGCATGGTGGTTCTGATTATTGTTGTTTTGTTTGAAGATTGAGACTGGAGAGGATGGAAATGAGTCAGAAGACTCGGATTCAGAAAGTAGTGATGCTTTAGACTTGTCAAAAGTCACAGAAATGAGGCTTGTTCCTTCAGACCCTGGCCAATGTATTAATGCATTCCTTTTCTAATGGATTTATCATATTTAATATTCCTGTCATGTAACTGCTTCACTTATTCTTGCATCACGTTTGGTATGGATTTGATGATTGAAGATTAAATACTTCTTTTTCTTTTTTGTTTTTTAGTGGATACTTTGTTTCAGATATTATGTGATTGCGCTGAGCTAAATCCTGAACCAATTGAAGGTGGGAGCTGGCACTATTGTTGCAATTGTTTTAAATGGATGGTTTCTATCTTGATTTTTCTTTTCCATACTTGCTATTATTCTCCACTGCATTGATACCGATTCATATGTGTTTGATGATGTTTATTTAGACGATGAAGGACACAATTGGATCTTTAGTGCCAACCAACTAGTAGACGAAACTGCTGGTAAGGGATTAGAGCAGTTAGCATGGTACCTTCTGAAAAATAGTTTTGTTTCAAGCATACTGGCCCTATATTTTGTAACTATTTTTTTCTACAGAAGAGGAAGATTCTGAATGGAATTTCTCTCAAAATCCATCAAGTTCAATTGGTCATTCAAATGGGCATCATGACCTTGCTCGTACGGTGCTTGAGGTAGGCTGGTTAATGTTCATTTTAAAATGCACTTTCAGTACCATATTGATGGTTAATATATCCATAATATGGTACTTAAAGTGCATGCTAAAACAACAAGCGTTTGTTTTCTTTTCAACATTTGCTCTTTATATGGTTAAACTTGAGAACTTGTTATATATCCAGGCAAATATTTGATGACACTATTTTTCAATATGCTGTGTGTTATTGTGTACTGTATGAATGTTTAAAATTTTGGGATGTTCTCGGTGGCTGCTTGTGTTGAAAATGGGATATGTGGATTGGCCCTAGTTGTAGTTTGTGCTCCATTTTAACTCTCACTGGCTTCTTGTAAATCTTGATTATCTTATAGTGTTAATGCGATGATCTATGTGCAGCTTCAGATCAATGATAATCGGTTTGAAGATGCAGAGGAGATGGAACATGAAAATGACAGTGATGGTGGCCATCACTGAGCTTCCCTTTTTCGAACAACCAGTGGTTGCATATTTATGCGCATTTTCCTCTTCCACGCCCTGAAATTTGCTACATTTGTAAATTTGTTCTTAAATATTCGATGATTGGCTGGAGTGGAGGCGGGAGGATTGCTGTCCCTTACTCGTGCAACTTACCTTCTAACATCGGGTGGTGTATTGTCAAGATTTTTAAGGCAGAATTACATCGGATTAATGTGTTAATATTTATGTATTTTACAATCATTGGGGATTTCCTGTTGCGGCCTTGCTTGCAAAGGGAGATGCTAGTCATACCTAGTCTCCAGGGGCATGTCTTTCTCCTGTTTATATCTAAGGGCTGAGGTCAAGAGGTTGTTGCAGTCAACCACCAGTGTCATGGTGTATCTCTTGTTTGTGTCCAAGGAAGAGAGGTTAGAGGTAATTGCAGTCCACCAGTGGCGAGGGTACTGATAACGGTTTTGTTTATCCCTCGGGCATTTTACTCTCTAACTAGTTTCGAGAAATCAACATCTCCAAACACGGTAGGGTAGGGTGGTAGTAGTAGTTATTTAAAAAAACAATTATTTAAAAATATATTAAAATAATATTTTTTTATTTTTAACATATAAAAAATCATTAACATAATAAAGTTTTTAGAAAAGCCATGCAGAACTTCCAAACAGCTGTGTATCTGTGTAGCCATACCATTAGACAACATCAGATGATATGGATTACCATCCTCTGGCAATCACAAATATGGCTGTCCCCAGGCAACAAATTAGTCATGAACCCATCTGCAAGATACCATAGTTCACAGCAAAGTTTCATGTGCGTATCAATGGGGCACAGCTGATCTTACATTAGCCTGCTGAATAAGGAGGGCATTTTATTTCATCAGACAAATCAAAGAAGGGAGTAGACAACCCAAGGGCAGAAGTGTTGACTGGCAAACGCCTACCAGCATGATTAGCCACTACGGATCTAGCAAGATCATTGCCATGGTTATCAGTACCAACACTCAATTTGAACTCAAGTTGTTATAATAAATTAAGCATCCGAGCAGAGGATACCCTCTGCAACAATACTAGAGCATAAAACCATGTGCGTGCTTCTCCTACGAAGTTTAATTTCGTTCTTTTCAACACAAGTTGCCAAATTTATTCCACTTAAAAACGAAACAAACTCAAAATAAAATAACTTCAGAATCTTGCATGAGACAATACCTGAGAACACTTGGAAATCATAACATTTCATAATGAAATAAGGAAACAAAATTCAATCTCCATTACCGAATTTTTAACATGATGGTATGGAAAAGGCACACATACTACATTAACCATACAGGTATTCTTTTAAGTCACGAGGGCTGATAAACTGTCTTTCAATCAAAAAGATCTGAGGGAGCAAAGTGTTCTGGTAAACTAAACAAAACAATAGCCCCAAAGAAGTAAGCAGCATCTCTCTAATCAGCAATGGTAACTTCAACCTCAACACCAGGTTCAATTGTGATAGACGTGATCTGCTTAACAACATCAGCAGAACTGAAGAGATCAATTACACGCTTGTGGACACGAAGCTCGAATCTGTCCCATGTATTGGTTCCTGCAAGCAGATCAGAAAAATTATATAAAATTAATTTCTTTTAGCTGAACAGGTATGGTTGTAAAAGGGAAGATCAATGACTTGATAGAAATGACAGATAAACCACATAGAAAAACGTAACACAACAAATTTCAATTTGTAATGGCTTCAAAATAGACAGATAGGACACATGTTTAAGTGAGGGAGATTCATTTCTATCACATGAACCATGAAAATCATTTTGAAGCAAATATTAATTGGAAACTCCTGTGCAAACATCACAAAACCAACCAGCATGGTATAGCCCATCCCCCTAGTTCCAATGCTCACACAAGAACACCTAGAAAATTAAATTGGCAACATTTTAATCAATAGGCCCCTTTTCCCATGCATTAACCAGTTAATACTACTGCATACGACTGCACAGAGAACACAAGCTTGTGATTGATTACTTCATTGGTCCTAGAGGGTAACAACTAACAGAGCTTATCTATAAAGAACAGTGATGTTTCTGCCACTTCTATATTTCACCCTCAAACCATTCTTATCAAATGAAACAAAATAATTGTTCAAACATTACAAAAAGAAATATGTCAATAACAAGCACTTGGAACTCATAAAGTAAGTGATGCATGATTGAAGAAAGCATGAACCAAAATCAATAAATAAGAATATTATGTCATGGGAAAAAAGTGAATTTCTAAAATCTGAAGGTTGCATAACTGTGTAAATAGCACATAAAAGAAGATAAAAAAAAATGGCACACACTACATATTAGTCGAACCATAATTAGTCAAAGCAGTTTGAGATAAATACCTTCACCACAAGGGGATTTCCTGGTGGTAATGTTAAGAACCTTGGTAGGGATTCTCACTGGTCCCTTGACCCTCAGTCTCTTATCCTTGGCACCACGAACCAAGTCAGTGCAAACTATCAGTAACACAAGCAAAAAAAGAGAAATCAGAACAAAAAGATACAACTAAAAGAAACAAAATGGGTCTCATCAATAACAGTCAGATTGTAAAATAGGATTTCAAGAATAGACCTTTCTCAAGGTTTTTGACATTCTTGGAGGAAAGAGGGATCCTGATCTTGTGAATCTGCTCCTGGGTCTCCTCCAACCCCGGCTTCTGCGCCTTCATAGCCCCAAAAGCGGCTGCCATTTTCTCCGTTCGCTTTTTTATAACAAAAACAAAACAAACCATTCAATATCACACATCTTTACATCATATTCATTAAAAATATACCAAAAACAGTAATACTTTAATTTTTATACCGTTTATCTATCTATTTACACAAAAAATGATTCAATTTTCACATATGAACTATCAAATTTTGAACTTATCATGCATGAAGCAAAAATGGGTTTCTAGTTCTCGAGCTTTTAGTCTTTAAAACAAGAAGCGATTCATTTTTTTCTTATAAACTAGCATATTTTGCAGTTAAGCCACATAAATAAAAAATGGGTTTTAGCTGAAATCAACTAACCATGCATTAAAAATGACAAGCATAAACTAATCAAAGTGATTATGAGTCTCACAGTCATAGATCTAAGTTAGACTTAAAAACTATTTTACTTCGAAGTAAACATCAAGACAGCAGAGCTACAGGGGTGAAGAGAGAGACCTGAGGGAGAGGGAGAGAGAGGTGGAGGTGCTGGGGCAGCGACGGCTTTCTCTGTTTAGAGCGATAGATAAATGGGATGGAGAAAATTTAGGGTTGTGAGTTGTAATATATATGTAGCTGTGTTCAACTAGGGTTAGGATTTTAAATCCGGGTAGTGGGTCGGGTAGGGATGAGAGACTAACCCTTTTTTTGCTAGTATTTTTTTGTGTTGGGCCTTTTAGACCCATAAAATTGCCCATTAATTTATTTAAATCCAGGTTTTGAGCAAGAAAAAGAAACAAAATTTTGATGATTTTGAAGGTGTGAGATAAGAAATACCTCACCTGATAGAGACATCATTGAAATAAAATATACTGTAGCGTTATGATTTTATATTTTTTAAAATGAATTTTATAGATAAAAAAACTTTATCTTATTCAAAATTCATGTTATGCTGTGTTGATGTTGTCTTTTAAAGTGTATTTGAACTATAAAAATTTTATTTTTATTTTTTAAATATTTTTCAATGATTTTAATGTATTAATATTAAAAATATCATAAATAATTTTCAAATGTGTTTTTTTATCAAAATATATGCCTTGCATTGTTAAACAAATTAATAACCTAATTTACAAACAAGATATGTGGAATATCATCGATTCTCTCGCACGCTCTGTTTGGTTTTCACCAACACTGTCAAGAAATGTTGATATGTAGCTTCATGAATGTCTAAGATATGATAGATTAAATTTTGTTTCTTTAAAAAAATTTAAAAATTTTATTTAATGTTGTTTATTGATGAAATTTAGATTCAAAATTGAGGATTTGACTCGAGAGTAACATTGCGTAATAAATAAACTATTATATGATATGCAATAATCACTTGAAGACGTAAGGATTCACATTGAAAATTGATTACTATATTTTTAAGATAAATGGTATTTCCAAATCAATTTGCATACAAGTGGAAATTCATAGTGTATTTTTTTTTTAATTTTATGATATCCTGCAAAATTTAAATGATTTAAAAATAAAATTTATGTATTAAATAATTAATTAATCACTTAGTTATGATAATTTAATTTGTTTTTTTCGCAACTAGGGTGTTTAGTAGCTTAATATAAAAAATCTGGTAGCTGATAAATTAAAGTAATTGATAGGTGGTAATTGGTAACCAATAAATCATAAGTCATGATAACTAGTAACAGGTAAGTGATGCATGATAAGTTAAAATAATTAGTGTTTCCATAAAATCATTCATGGTGAATAAAGAACTCTTGTACTTCTATAATTAGAGAGGATATAATAATATTTTACAAATATATGCTATAAACATACGTATGAAAGAGAGAATTGAGAAGAATGAAAACTCTTTACCAGGAATATTTATGAATTATTTACAACTCATGATTTATTTTTTTATTTTTTTGTGGAAATGAAAGGTTGAAGAGTAATTTAACTCCTATAAATTAATATAATATTTTAAATTATATTTCATTTAAAATAATATATATTAGATAAATATAGAATAATCAGTACCTATGTAAAGGGTTTAGCAAGATTTTTAAGTAACTCGTGTGGGGTTTTAGAAAAATATTCAATGAAATATTGGGTTTATACGAGTTGCATGAGTCCACTGTAATAGAAAACAGATTTGGACCTTGCTTAGACCAACAGACATTGGGCTTGGGTGTGTGCCCAACCCTGGGGGGTGCTGGCGGGTGCTTCACGCCAGCAGCATTGGGATGTACGCCTAGCACCCCAACTTGGCACGCAGGCCCAGCAATGGCGCTACACTTGTGGCTTAGAGCCGCGGGTGTTGGGCAACAAACCCGGCAGGGTGCTGGCATGTGCCCAGTACCCTCACAGGCCCATACAACAACCCAAACCCATTCCTCATTAGGTCCAAGGAGCATATTGGTCCCAGGCAACAAATTTAGCCCATGTGTTTTTTAGGGTTTTTTTTACCCCTGGGTTCATCACTTTCACACACTTATCTTTCAAGATTTATACTCGAGAAATAATAATATATATAAAAAAACTAATTTCATCAATCAATTTTCCTGAGATATTCTCATTCGCTGGCGGCCCGATGACTGGCAATACAGGAAAGGGGAAGAAAGAAAGTAGATTCACGGAGTTTTAGCATGTCATGAGAACTCCATGGTTGATAAGTAAAATACTCACGTAATTGATAGAAAACAGAACAATGGCATGAAGGGGGGAGAAAATAGATTCACGCAAATTTTCAACCTTTTGTATATTTATTTTCACGTAGAAATTAATGTTACCATTACTGAGATTATCAACAAAAAAAAAAAAAAAGGAAGGGTATCGTTCAATTTATTCATTCTGTAAGATATTGGAGAAAATTAACAGCAGTGCTAGAAATGCATACTGATGATGCATTCAAGAGTTATGGTGCTGATACGAAACAATGGGTGAGATGAAGAATTCAATGTCAAACATCTTGTTTTGTCTAATTTTAAATATTCTAATATTAGTTCTCTGATGATACTCAATATAGTATTATTTGAGATTTGCTGAAGAAATATGTTTGAAATTTATCCAGGAAAATGATGGTCTGGCTTTTAACTGTATATCAACGCATGTAACATTTAAATTAGATTTGGAGTTTATCAATGTAGTTTATTTTTTTCTAGTTTTAAATAGTTAAAATGTATGATTTTAAAGATGTGAAATCAGATAAGATATTTTTATAAAATATACAATAATATCTGTGAATTTCTTTTTTTCATCAAGATTATAACACTATACTCCTAAAAATTATTATTCTTACCTCTACTTCTCTATACATAGATCATGAAAATAGATGGTATTTGAGATTGTGATTTAATAGCATTTAAAAAAAAGAAATTAATTTTTTTATGGTTTTATTATGATTATGTTAAAAATAAATCTTAAAAAATAAAAAATATTTTTCTAATTTATTTTTAACCAAAAAAATACTTCCATCACACTCTCAAAAAACATTTGGCAATGTCAGGGACAACACGTCATATGCGACGAGGATTAATGAAACCCAAAATAACCATTGCAATAAAATTTTGATCGACAACATCCTAAACTATCACTAAAATCATAATGGAAAAAAACGGGGAAAAAAATACAATGAGGAAGAGAAAGGCCTATAAGCTAGTATAATTCTCAAAAACAAAAAAACACTAGATTTGTCTTGGTTAAAGTAAAAAAAAAAATATAAAAATATAAAAATTTAATTTATTTAATTAAAAACCTGAATTAACTCAAAGATTTAGTTCACCCAGAACCAACCCAATCAAATCAACTCGATGAGGTTTTTTTCTCAAAACAATATATTTTGATTCTTTCTAAACAATTTTTTTTTTTGTTGTTGGTTTCGATCCATCCAGTCAATAACTCAGTCGGGTTTTGAAACAATGTGTCCCAACTCAGATAAAGCATAGATAACTTCAAATCAGTGTAGCCCACATGCTCTTTGCAAGCCCATTCATTCCACTAAAAATGTCCATGTCCATTATTAGGGTTCCTCACGCTAGACCAGGAGATTATATCTGGAAGAAAAAGGAAAGAACCGAAAAACTAACCCGCCATGTAATATTAAGTCACATGACCTGCTATTAGATATTTAGATGATTTTGTGTGTAATTATTAAATTCAGTATTATTTCATGGATTGATTCAAAAAAATTCATGATTTATAGATATATTTAATTTTGATTTAAATTGAAAATAATATTAACCCTGCTAAGCTTGGTTAACTTAATATTGTTTTTTTAATCCAACTAAATTTAATTAGGTTAACACCAAGAAATCTTAATAAAAAATAATTTATGTTTTTTATTAATATCAATGTTCAAGTTAGTTTACGTGTATCTCGACTAATTTTATAAATTTTAAAATTAATAGTTAACAATCATATAAATTTTTAAAAATACTAAAATTTATGGACTCAAACAAGTGAATTTTAAAAAGTAAATTTAAAACAACATGATAAGTTAAGTTACAACTATTAAAAAAATATATATCTTGGTTAATTGAAAGAATATCATTTCATGGATAGCATCCCTAATCGGATATCGATAGCTGTAACTAGAGATTCAATAGTATTGTGTTTAGCATCAAGGTTCCAAAGTTCTTTTCCCTTCTCCTACGTCCTATCAATAAAGTTATAAAACGTTGAACGCAGGGGCAGAGCAAGAACGAAAAATTAGGGGATTTAGATTAAAAAATTATTTAAAAAAAATAAATTTTCAGTTATTTTTACTAAAATTATAAATATTTACAATAAAATGAGCTGAGAAAAACATTTCTTTGCAAGGGTCGGGCCCTACCAGCCCCTCCCTACCTCCGCCACCGGTTGAACGGTATGATCAATCAAGGGCAAGCTCCAATTGTAAAGCTGGAATCAATCAAACTAACCTTTATTAGAATTCGAGTGCAAGATGTCCACTTCAGAATCCCCAACTTTCAGCCATTAAGCAATTATTGAGGGACAAAATGCTATTTCAGTCTTGCAATCAAGTTGACCACAGAGAAATATCTTCACGATCTACCTAACAAAAATCTTAAAAATTTTCAGAATTCAACTATTAAATTTTTTAAAAATAATATAAGAAAATGCATGGGATGTCAGGTCATTTTAAGGTCCTTCAATGAATGCTTTGCAGAATCTGAAGTCACACGCAGCCAGATAAAGTTAATCCACCAGAAATTTGTCCCATTTTTCCACTTATGCTGGCTATATAAGATTTTGCAGGTGCTGCGGCTATCTTCTGCCAGGCAATCTTTATCCACCCAGGTGATTTAATTGTCATGGAATTGATGAACAGTTGGGTGCAGAGCAGAGGAGCTTGCCATTTAGAAAGAAAACTGTGCTCACCTCCGATGCCAGTCGAGGCCATACTTTCTTCACATCCTGACCCACCTTGAACATGAAAGTCCAACCTTCTAGGCCTTAACCCATTAATACTCAATCTGTCAGTTGTGTATTTGTGTTGAATTTCAAACCTAATCATTCAATGGCGCAATGATTCGGCCTTAACCCATTAACTCGCGTATTTTTTTCTATAATTTTATTTATTTATATATAATCTATAACTTTACAAGAACAATATAGTAAATAAATA